GCCTGCGGCGCTCACCTCTGCCGGGGCACGACCGACTGCGCGAGTCCTCCCCGCCGATGACGAGGCCGCTGCTGCTGCGGAGCTGGCCGCTGTCGCCCGTGCGCCCCCTGTCACCCTGACCCGGGTGGCCGAGCACCACCACGCCGTGCCACGGCAGCTCCACCTCCCGCACCTCGAGCGGAGGACTGGAGGGTAGAAAATGAAAAGTGCATTGGGGGGATGCAGAAACAAACTTGGACAAGTATTGGGTCGTGAAACGCGAGGGGTCAACGTATTTAAATCAAATATTTTGCACCTTTGACTGTCGTTTGCGTAACTAATGGTTCCGAGCGCACCCTTCATTTTTTAGTTTTACTGTGCCGCATGTTGCGATTAACTTAAGTCTAATGATTTACACAGAATGAAAAGAAGTCGTTAAGTTCAGTTGACTTGTCTACATCCCCCTCACTGGCTTCTCGGCCCAACTCGCCCCCCCCCCCAACTCACGTTATACTCACGTCACCCGCTCCCCGGCCGCCAGGTAGGCCGCGGAGTCCCGGAGGTCTCGGGGGAAGACCAGCTTGTCCCCGGGACACGGCAGCGCGCCGCCCTCCCAGTTGTCCGGGTTGCTGAACAGCAGCGACCGCCGCCACACCTTCCGGTTGCGCTCGGGCACGACTGCGAGCGGAAGTGCATAGTGTCCGTTCAGAGGTGTGAGGTGCTGACGCGAAAAGGGGAAAAGAGGGGGGGGGGGCGGAGGTCTACCGTGCAGGTCCTGCTTCGCGTCGAAGAGGCTGAGGCTGGTCACCAACTGCAGCAGGGCCACCAGCACTACCGGCACCAGCGGCTGCACCATGGCCACCATGCCGTGCTCCTGGTCGCGTCGCGAGTGCGGGCCACGGGGCGTGTGCGCGGTGCTGCGTGGCGCCACGGCTGCCGCCGTGGGGGGCGTGCTGGCCGTGACAAAAAACATGTGTATGAGGTGGAAAAGGGGAGGGGGGGGGCACAAGCGAGCAGGACACCCGACAGCACGACAAAACGTTAGAGCGATGGAAGTGAGTGACAACTGTTGATGCAGTAGTACAGTACGCAAAGAGTATGTCGCTCACTGCGCTTAACGACGGATCGAAACTCATGCATGCTTTGGTGTTACGGTGGCACAGTACAGTGCCCACGAGCATCACGGCTCGGCTCGGAGGTGGTGCATGGTCCCCCCGTGGTTCCTCGCAGGTTGTGGGGTTGGGGG